TTTGTTCTCCCTATTTGTCAATCAGCTATTCTTGCAAATAGGTGGAGGATTTATATATATAAATTTTAAATAAATTGATTCAAAATCCACCAAAACTGGGTTTGGAAGGCATTTAAAAAGTTAGAAATGGCAGCTGGGTGAGCTGTAATCCCAGCACTTTGGGAGGCCGGGGCAGGTGGATCACAAGCTCAGATCAACACCATCCTGGCCAATATGGTGAAACCCCTTCTTAACTAAAATACAAAAAATTAGTTGGGTGTGGTGGCTGGCATGTGCCTGTAGTCCCAGCCACCTGGGGGGCTGAGGCAGGGGAATTACTTGGACCTGGGAGGCAGAGGCTGCAGTGAGCCAAGATTGCTCCACTGCACTCCAGCCCGGTGACAGAGCAAGACTCTTCTTGGAAAAAAAACACGAAAAACACCTAGAAATGGCTTCTCTGTTCTTAGCATGTGGAGATATGAGTATTTTAAGAGGACACACATTGGTTCTGTTCACCCATTTTCAACCCATATACCCTTCTGCTTCTTTGTGGTCCCTGCTTCTTCAGTGTCATCTTCTACTGATTCCCTGTAGTTTTATACCTAAACTGGCATTCCTCTCTATTGTGGAGAACAGAATACCTACCTCAGATTTTTCTATTATGCCTAGCTCTGCTTAGAGCAGAAAAACAATATGCATTTTTTTGTTTTTTGAGACAGAGTCTTGCTCTGTCACCAGGCTAGAGTGCAGTGAGGCGACTTTATCTCACTGCAGTCTCCGCCTCCCGGGTTCAAGCAATTCTCCTGCCTCAGCCTCCTGAGTAGCTGGGACTATAGGCGTGCACCACCATGCCCAGCTAATTTTTGTATTTTTAGTAGAGACAGGGTTTCACCATATTAGCCAGGATGGTCTCGATCTCCTGACCTCATGATCTGCCCGCCTCGGCCTTCCAAAGTGCTGGGATTGCAGGCATGGGCCACTGCGCCCAGCCCAGCATGCATTTTATTAAGAGCAAATAAATATATACTTTAAAAAAAAAACCAAATTCTAAGTCATAAGTGATATATTTTAAGACATCTGCCTTAAACCATGAAAAATGTCTTAAAATAACAGCAGTAAGAGCATATGAAAAAGCTTCAGAGATCATATAATCTGGGGTTTTAAAAACTATTTCACAACAAAACTCTTCCAGATAAAATTTTACAGCCTCCCAAATATATAAAGCTTGGCAAAAGCATTGCTATTTTATGTTCAAATACATTATATTAATTTATTGTAAACTCAGAGATAAATTGAGGATTAGGGATGTTAACAATCCATTTATTTTTGTGTGCTTTGCTTTGATTTCAGTCAGGTAAGCAGCTGCAGCTCTTAACGGTTCCATTTGCAGTCTTCAGAATACTCTTCAAATATACTGATCCAAATGTTTTAAACAATAAAAGGAAAAGCTTTACTCTTAGAAATGTCTGCCCCATCGCACCCCCAAAATAACCATGTAGAACCATGTAGCACTATGGTCTTCAAAGCATTAAAAAATTTATATACACACATGCATATATATACATATACACACATGTATATATGAATGAGTATGAGTACCAGAACCATTCAATGGGGAAAGGACAGTCCTTTCAACAAATGGTGCTGGGAAAACTGGATATCCATATGTAAAAGAATGAAGTTGGACCCTTACCTAATTTACAAAAATTAGCCCCAAATGGATCAAAGACCTAAACATAAGAGCTGAAACTATAAAACTCCTAAAAGAAGACAAGTAAAATCTTCATGACATTGGATTTGGTAACAATTTCCTGGACATGACACTAAAAGCACAGACAGAAAAAAAAATAAATTGGACTTAATGAAAATTTAAAACTTTTGTGCAGTATACTATCAAGACAGTGAAAAGAAAACCCATAAAATAGGAGAAAATGTTTGCAAATCATATATTTGATAAGGGATTAATATCCAGAGTTTATAAAGAACTACAACTCACCAAAAAACAACCTACTTTAAAAACAAGTAAAGGACTTGGATGGCATTTCTCCTCAAATATACAAATGGACAATAAGCATATGAAAAGTTGCTCATCATCACTAATTATCAGGAAAATTCAAATCAAAACCACAATGAAACACCACCTCACTCATTAGAATAGCTATTATCAAAAACATAAAAAGAAAAAAACACTAGAAGTGTTGGCAAGATGTGGAGAAACTGGAACCTTTGGGCATTGCTAGCTGGAATATAAAATGGTGCAGCTGCTGTGGAATGCAATATGACAGTTCCTCAAAAATTAAATACAGAATTAGCATACAATCTAGCAAACCCATTTCTGGGTATATAGAAATACTGAAAAAAGAGCCAAAAGCAGGGACTCAAACAGTTGTATACCAATACTCAAGGTAACATTATTCACAGTACACAAAAGGTGGAAACAACCCAAATGTTCATAAATGTGATATATACATACAAATGAATATTAACAGTCTCAAAAAGGAATGAAATTCCAATACATGCTGCATGGATGATCTTGAAGACAGTATGCTAAGTAATATAAACCAGACACAAGAATATTGTATGATTCAAAAGTAGAAAAGCTGTTGGGGGGGTAGAGTGGGAAGTGGATAGTTACGGTTTTGTTTTTGAACAGGGTCTCACTCTGTCATCCAGTGTGCATGATCACAGCTCACTGCAGCTTCCTGAGTTACTGTTCACTGGGAAGAATTTCAGTTTGGAATGATAAAAAAAGTTCTTGAGATGGTGGTGATGATGGCACAACAATGTACTTAATGCCACTGAACTGTACACTTAAAAACAGTTAAAATGGTAAATTTTATGTTATGTATACTTTACCACTTTTTTTTTAAGAGGGTATGTGTGTGTTGCTTTGGTGGCAGTGTAAAAACATGGTTAAGGACACAAGCTTAAGAATTAGGCTGCCCAGTTTCAAATCCAGCTCTGCCACTATAGCTCCGCAGTTTTGGGGCAACTAAGTTATTGTCTGTGCCTGTTTTCTCAAATAACAGACTAATTCACAGGGTTACGGTGAAAATTAAATAAATCAGCACATATGAAGTGTTTAAAACAGTGCATGTCATACAATAGTCACTTTTTACTATTACACGTTTAAAATATATTTTTATTGAGATTTAAGTCAAACATCTGCAGGATCTCTGAAATTCTCCAGTTTAGTGAAACAGTTTTAAGAACCAGTTATCTAACCCAAACTTCTCATTTTATAGGTAAAGGAATTAAGAGTCCAAGAAAAGTCATCTGCCTGAGGTCACGTCTTGTTTCACTAATATTAATTTTCCTAAAACTAAGTGTTTGGTATTAACAACAAGAATGTTGACATTCAATCACTTCCAAACCAAGGCACCCAAAGCCATGAAATTCTATAATGTGTAGCCAAGAATCTGTGAATAGTGTGAATAGTAAAACCAAAAGACCTCATAATCAAAGACAATGGTTAAAAACACCTCTTCTGAAAATAAAGTGTTCAATATTTATGAAAACACACCCAATATGCCCACTACTCCACTCCTTTCATCCAGCCACATACTCTATAATCTTAGTGAGACCTCTGGGTCTGAAAAATTAGCTGCTGCTTCTAACAAAGCTAATGTTTATCACAAGGCAACATCTACAAATAATTCTTTATTACATTCAAACAGAAGAGACAGCAATCTAATACAAAATGTCTAATTCAAAAAATCATGAATTAAGCTTTTTGTACTTACTTGAGTAGAGCTATATCTGGTTTCTGGAAAATTCACCACACAAAAAGCAAAATAACCGAGACAATCTTTGAAGGTCAGACTCAACAAGAGTTAAAAGCTATTGAACGTCTCCATTTTGCCCCTCCCCCAAGGTCCTCCTCAATTCGGCTCTCAAAGGATAGCACCACCACTACGTGAAATATCCTCCCCCTTCCCGTCTGAATCTGCTGAAATCCTACTCACCCTTAAAGGTTTCACTTAAATGCCGACGCTTTCGTGCATTCCCTCCTCAATATAGAATTAATGTCTCTTCTTCGCTCTCCTATTCTACACCTCAACATTTTATTATATGATGCACTGTATTACAATTACCTACATTCACTAACCCCCTGCACCGCATCCCAAAAAAAAAAACCACCCCGAGAAGGAAAGGAATTTAAGGTGCTGATAAATACCTCTGTGCCAGGCAAGGTGTTATGCATTTTGCATACATTATCTCATTTAATCTGCATGAAAAACATCTGGGGTGGTAAACAGGTGGTGTTATTTCCATTTTACTGACAGGGAATCTATTGCAGAATCCAACAGCTTACCCAACATCACGTTGCTAGCCAATTCCAGGGCGTACGGTTTGCCCCGCTCCAAAAAGCTCTTTCCACCACCCCATGCTTGTTCATCTGGTGTCCCCTGACATAACAGACAGAGGGTAGGTATTCCATAAATGCTGAATTTAATATCCCAATGGACTCAATAGGACCCTTTAATAATCCGATCACATCTCATTCCTAACCCGTTACCTTTATTATTCCTTAACTGGATTTTACCTACATAAGCAGCTCTCCCCATCTCCTTGAGAAATGCTGCAGACAGCATCAACCCTTATTACAAGACTGAGTGAAGAACTTTTCCATTCTCCCGGATTTCCCCAACGGTTTCCCCAACGGATCTTCCCAAAGAATTTAAGAAATGCACACACGCAAGACACATGTAACTCCCCCAAGACTCTTATTTCGTATTAAACAATATCTTCGAGCTTATAAGGTTTATGCGGTTTCCATCTCACACAGTGGGGACACCCTAAGTCACTGCCTTAAGAAAACCACATTTTCCAACCTGTCTTAACACGAAGGCATCCTAATACTATCACACTGCCCCCTCCCTCCGTCCCCCTCCCCTCCCCGCCATGAATTGCAGTTTGGATTTCCGGCGGGAATGTATAATGCACACCGCGAGAGGAGATAGGGTTAAAAAGCAATGAAGCAATTGCTTAGCCTGCTTAATTAGAAAGACACAGTAAGCGCCCCGCCTTCCAAAATCTCTGCACTGAACTCATCTACGAAAGATGTGGGCATCGAAACCCAAGCAATCCGACATCCAGTGGCTGGTTTCTGCGGCTGGTCAGGAAGAGTCCTTTCCTCCCTCCGGTCCTGGGCCACCAGCCGCCAATGCCAGGTCGGAGAACCCTAACCGCACCCTCCCCGGGCGGCCCCTTATCTCATTGTCTCTCAGTCGCGGTCCCGAGGGGCGCAGGGTGCAGTCCAGGCCCCGCCAACCCCCACTGGCCGGGCGCGGTCCAGCCAGCCCAGGTCCCAGCCCCAACCTGGCAGCGACCCCGCCCCAGGCTGCGGCCACCCGCACCGCGCCCAGATGGCGGGACCGGGCGCCGGGAAAATGGAGGCGGGAGCGGCAGGAGCGCCTCAGGGTTCCGCACCCGGCCGGCTCCCTACCCTGGCCCCGAGGGCGAGGCTGAGCACTCACCGCGGCAGCCGGTCGGCCCTCACGCGACCCCAGCTACCGTCACGGCCCGAGGTAGGGAAGCCGCCGCTCGCGCTCCTCCAGCCGCTGCCTTTGCCTCCTCCCCAGGCGCGGCGCTTCCTCGCCAGAGACGCAGCTAAGGCCGGCAACTCCCGCACCGCGCGCTCAGTGACTGACTGACTGACTGGCTGGCGGGAGGCGTCGGCGGCGGTGGCGGCGAGAGCGGGGGCGGGGCGGCTGCAGCGCCCCGCTGCGGCGGAGCGGAGTGTGGCCGCGTCCAGAGGAGACGCAGAGGGCGGCGTTGAGGGCCGGCCGACTGTGGGGCCGACTCGCCGCGGGCCTAGAGAGCTGCCCCCGCCCGCCGCCAACCACTCACTTCCGGCGCAGGCCGCCGCGCCCGCCGCCCTCCTCCAGCCCGCGCCCCCCGCCCCCCGCCCCCCCGCCTGCCCTCCCCTCAGGCGCCGGGCCGCACCCAGCCGCGGCTCCTCTCGTGCCTCGCCTTTCCTCCGCAAGTCCCTGTGAGCTGCCTCCAGGAACCAGTGAATCAGAGAATGAATGAGTGGGGAGGAAAACCCCACCCCCTGCTCTCCTTTCCTAAGAAGCGGGCTCAGAGGCCTCTGTCCGAGCGCCCTGGGAGACACGGCAACCTCGACCTGGTCTGTCGGGGAGATGTACGCATCCACCTTTACGCCGAGACTCCAGAAACGCATCCGGGGTTGGCTCGGACACTTATAGGACCACTGTTGTTGAGATCTGTGAGGCCCTTCTTTCAGAAATCCCATTTTGACCAAAAATTCTCTGCAGTTTCATGCCGCGTATTGGGAAGCATTTAGAAATGGGACATTTAGATGACCTTTAATTAGTTTTTAAATTTCGAAATCTATCCTGCCTCCTTAATTTTTGTCCCTGACCCTATCGGAATTGGGTAGTAGTAACGTATCCGCGTTTTTCCTTATCGCTAAGCTCAGCTGCTGATTATTTTGATGCAGGCTTGACTTAGACTTTTAGATTTTAAGTTATGTCCTTATTTTGACCGTCACCTAAAGTTGATCAAAGCAAGTAAAAAAATAGAATTAAGTTATATTTGGCCACATGCAAAGTAAGTTTGTTGACAGCATTAAAACAATTGAGGATTTGGGAGTGTGACCTGAAATGGGTTGCAATGAACGTTCCCTTTTCATGTCTTACCCTCTGCTTGCTAAGAATTTCTGTTATCTTGAATTTTCACAAAGAATTATTGACTGTACATTTCTGAAATCCTAGAGCCCTCTCTAAAACAAGAGTGTTCATTTCTCTGTCCTGGGGCCAAATCCTGGTCTGGTTAATTACATTTTTACTTCCTGATATTCTTGAGGACTTTCAAGTGGTTTCAGTCTTTTTTGTACAATCTGTTCCAAACTGGTATTTAGCACCATACAATACAGATACTGGCTGCCTTTCACACCTGAGATATTTGTACTTTCGAAACTTAACTGCACTTTTGTATTCTAAGTTCAATAGGTGCGTCCATATTCTTGTATAGAATAACACTGTCTCTTATAAATGAGGATGATCCTGCTTGACCACTTCTTTTAGACTTCTCTTCCTTTCTTGTGGAATTCATCATTTTGCCACCTAGTTATTTCAAGAAGTTCTTCTCTCAAAATGAATGCAATACAACACTTTATTCATCCTTGTATCTTCCACAATATCTAACATAGTATCTTGCACAGTAAGTATTTACAAATTAATAAATGCTTTAAAATGTTTCATAAGTGATAATTTTATACAAATCTATCTAGTCTCTCATCTCATTTCCCTTGTGACCAAGTTTGTTGACATTAGACACACCTGGGTACCAAACCCAATGAATCCTGTAGTTATTCAATGTACTAGGCTGTGTGGTACCCTACAAGGAAGATGATTCATTGAAATTTCCTTAAAAAAAATAGACCATTGAGTGCCTTTTACATAGGTGTTAGCCACCTCTTTCCTCCAAGTGCTTAGCCTAAGATCAAGGCTAATTAGAAGAGAAAAAGGTCACTTTCAGTCATTGAGAAAAGTGTTATCAGTTTCTTTAAACCATTAAATCATTCATTCATTCAATAAGAGTTTATTAAGCTTCAATTAAGGCCTAGGAATACAAAGACAAGAAAGACATGACATGATGCTACCTCCCCAAAAAAATCATGCAGTCTGTGGGTAAAGCTGGTAAGGAAGTCACTGTTAGATTAAAAGTCCATTCCCAGGTCAGGAAAGCCTTTCCCATGCAGAGACTCTTGAACTGAATGTTCAATGACAGGGAGGAGCTAACCAGAAGAAGGAGGGAGCAAGCATTCCAAACAAAGAAAATAATATCTTTACAGGTGTGTGGAGGCACCAAACATCACGATGTTTTAGAGGCGCCATAAGTGTATTAGTCTGTTTTCATGCTGCTAATAAAGACATACCTGATACTGGGAAAGAAAAAGAGGTTTAATGGACTTACAGTTCCACATGGCTGGGGAGGCCTCACAATCATGGCAGAAGGCAATTAGGAGCAAGTCACATCTTACATGGATGAGAGCAGGCGAAACTTGTGCAGGGAAACTCCCATTTTTGTTGTTGTTGTTGTTGTTGTTGTTGTTTGAGACAGGAGTCTCACTCTGTCACTGGGCTGGAGTGCAGTGGCGAGATCTCTGCTCACTGCAACCTCCTCCTCCGAGTTGAAGTGATTCTCCTGCCTCAGCCTCCTGAGGAGCTAGGACTACAGGCATGTGCCACCTTGCCCAGCTATTGTTTTGTATTTTTAGTAGAGATGGGATATCACTATGTTGGCCAGTGTGGTCTCAATCTCTTGACCTCGTGATCCACCCACCTCAGCCTCCCAGAGTTCTGGGATTACAGGTGTGAGCCACCTCACCCGGCCAAAACTCCCATTTTTAAAACCATCAGATCTCATGAGACTTATTCACAGTCAGGAGAACAGCATGAGAAAGATCCACCCTCATGATTCAACCATCTCCCACTGAGTCTCTTCCACAACAGGTGGAAATTATGGGAGCTGTAAGATGAGATTTGGGTAGGGACACAGAGCCAAACCATATTGGTAAGTAATTCCATTTTGTCAGAACAGACACAGAGAAGAGTTAAAGAGTTTGGAGGAAAGGGTGATAAGGGCTTCATTCATGAAGTGGCTCTTGCTAAACTAAGGAGTTTGAAGTGGACACTCTGGGAAATGTAATGAATAATAAATCTTTGAAGTTTTTTAGCCCCCAGAGCAACTGAGTTTGTGTTTTGGAGACCAAGAAGACCAGACTGGAGCGGGAGAAAATTAAGAGGTGATGATAACAACCCAAAACCTAATAAGATGTGTGCTGCAGGTCTCATTAAAAGCAAGAGGTCATAAAACGGGAAGGAGGAACTAGATGGGAGACATATTAAGGAGGCAGAATCTACAGAATATATAACTGGATATGAGGAAGTGAATGCAATGGAGACATTTAAAGTGACTCTCAGGATTCAGGTTTAGGAGAATGAATGGTGATGACCTCTGAAATAAAGAGCGTGGAAAAAAGAGCAGGTTTTAGGGAACTGGCTGAATGCCTGTATGACAAAGAATAGTACCATACATCCAGGCATCTTAGTCTATCTTTTCCCAAAGTGTGTTCTTTGGAACTCTAGTCCCACAAGATTTTAGTAGGTGTAATTTCCCCTCAAAATTTTAAGTTCCTTTAATAAATGAGAAAGCTAGGTTAAACAGTTCAATGGGTTTCTAAACTAGAGAGGTTTCTGGTGGTTTTAATATTTTAATGAGCATTGGGAATTTCTGAGGTAGATATTATATACAAGTGCTTCCCAAATGTATTCAACCATGAAACCCTTTTTCCAATGGAACATCTTATAAGACAAGTGTTCCACAGTACACACTTTGGGAAATGCTGACTGAAACCAGACATTGATTTGTAGTAAAGGGGACGGTGGCTCAGGACATGAAGTGACTTGCCTAAAGTTAAACAGCTGTTGCTAGAAGATACTGGACTAGGGTCTGTATCTTCTGACCCCAGTCACATTCTCTTTCCAGTACAAACTGCTTTACAATTTACAAACTCATTCTAGCACCTTCCACCAATCATGGGGAGAAGAATAAAAAATTATGGAATATATCCTTTTAAATGATATTTTGAATCAGTAATTTTAAAAGATATGCTAATTTTTAATGGTTAATATTTTATATAAGATTAAAAAATTTGTACTGGAGAAGTGGGACTGATTATCACCTTCATATGATCTTTCTGATAATTGAACGGAGACGTATAATAAAATTAAATTACCCAACTAAATAGAACATTCATCTAGTTGTCTTATCCCTGAAGTAACTTTAAATAAAATAAGCTTCCAGGAATTGATAGAAACATTATAACTCTGCCCCAAAATTTTAGTGTTGATTTTATTCCCCCTGCACATAGAAGGAAATGTCTGGTACTATGAAAATCCACACCAGATTTTGACTTCTTCTCTGTCACAATTCCCCTGATTCTGAAAACTCTAATAGCTAATGGATGAGAGAGTTTTCTTATCCTAAATTCATATTCTTAATCCCCAAAGGAGGAATTTTAGTACTTCCTATTCTTAGAAAAATGAGACAATTTTTTTTAATTTTCAAGAGACCTCTTAGGACTCTGGGACAAATTTTAAGAGTAGCTTCTATACACATTGCCTTTGAAACAAGTTATTAATGTTTTAATTTATGTTTCAGTATTTTATAAAGTATTTGTTTCATTTCTGAATGCTATATTAATTTTTAGTAAGCAAATCAAGGACCATCATACTCAGTGTAAATATGTTGAGTGAATGAGTAATTTAATTACTTTATTTATTTATTTATTTTTAGGCAGAGTCTTGCTCTGTTGCCCAGGTTGGAGTGCAGTGGCACAATCTCAGCTCACTGCAACCTCTACCTCCCAGGTTCAAGACATTCTCCTGCCTTAGCATCCCGAGTAGCTGGGATGACAGACATACGCCACCATGCCCAGCTAATTTTTGTATTTTTAGTAGAGATGGGGTTTTACCATGTTGACCAGCTGGTCTTGAACTCCTGACCACAGATGATACACCTGCCTTGCCTCCCAAAGTGCCAGGATTACAGGCATGGGCCACTGTGCCTGGCCAGTAATTAATTACTTTAAATTTTCAGTAGCTGGCAAGGTGCAGTGGCTCACATCTGTAATCCCAGCACTTTGGGAGGCCGGATCATGAGGTCAGAAGTTTGAGACCACCCTGACCAACATGGGGAAACCCTATCTCTATTAAAAATACAAAAATTAGCCAGACATGGTGGCGCATGCCTGTAATCCCAGCTACTCAGGAGGCTGAGGCAGGAGAGTCACTTGAACCTGGGAGACAGAGGTTGTAGTGAGCCAAGATAGCGCCGCTGCACTCCAGTCTGGGCCACAGAGTGAGGCTCCATCTCAAAAAAGAAAAAAAAAAGCAAAACTCAACTTTAGCAGCCATAAGTAGTGGAGAAAACACTATTATTAATCCATTTATCAAATTAATTACATTTATTTCCTTAATGTTCACTGTGTCCCCAGCTCTGTCTAGAATCACTAGAGAAATACATGAAATAGTCTCTGATTTTTAAAAATGATTCCACCCATTGTTGACAAAAATGGGAAGAAACAGCCACTCTTATTCCTGCAAGTGGGAGTAGTCATTGCAAACTTTTTCTGTAGGGCAGTTGGCAGTAGATATTCAAAGGGGTAAGAACAAAACATTAGCTAGGATATTGTGGGATAATGGCAAATATTTGGAAATCCCCTAAATGTCTAGCCATGGGAAGTTATTTAAGAAAATGAAGGCTAAGCATGGTGGCTCACACCTCTAATCCCAGCACTTTGGGAGGCTGAGGTGGGCAAATCACTTGAGGTCAGGAGTTCAAGATCAGACTGGCCAAGATCGTGAAACCCCATCTCTACTAAAAATACAAAAATTAGCTGGGTATGGTGGTGCACACCTGTAATCCCAGGTACTTGGGAGGCTGAGGTGGGAGAATCACTTGAACCTCGGAGGCAGAGATTGTAGTGAGTCAAGATTGTACCACTGCACTCAAGCCTGGGTGACAGAGCAAGACACTGTCTCAAAAAAAAAAAAAAAAGAAAATGATGATTCGTCAAGTATTTTTTGACATGAAAAGACGTTCACAATATGTTGATTAAAAAGTTACAAATATTATGTACAATATGAACCCATGAGAAAACATATATAGGAAAAACCTAGAAGGAAATGCAAGAAGATGAAGTGTTTATTGCAGAGTGGTATGATTGTGGTGCTTTCTTTTCCTACTTTATCTTTTAACAACAAATTTGTATTCTTTAATTGGCAATTAAATGAATTGCACTACACCAATAGTTACGAAGAGAAATCTCTTAAAATGTTGAGGAAAACAACAATGTAAAGTATATATATTATTTAATGAAAAATAATTTTACTTTAAAAGGGGAACTCTGCATTCAAGAAATTTTATTCCAAATAGCATAAACATAGAGACAAAAACATAGGAAATAACCAGAGAACAACTAAATATGAAGCTCTGATACAGACTGTAAGTACAATAGTAGTTAAGGGAAGAGGGAAATCAACAGAGGTTAGAGCAGGTTAGGATAACTTCATGGAACAAATGATACTTAGCTCACACTTAGAATCTGAATGCCAAGAGGAGAATCAGAGTTGGGGTAGTAAAAGAGGAGTGAATCAAGCCCAAATTGGAGGCATCTCATTCCTCCCAGTCAAACAT